ACTTCAGGATATAAGTCACTATCATATATATAGCTTTTCATAGGATTTATACAAAAAACAGAAATCGTCAACGCAAAATTGTCCATTGAATATATCCGAGATATTACAAGAAGAGATTTCTAGAACAACACAATGTTTTGAATAAAATATATTTTCAAATTTGAACTTATCTGTAATGAATAATAATAGTTTAATAAACTTTTTATTGCGTTATTCATTTAATTGATTGATTGTTTTTCTTGTAGAATAGTAACTTAACACAAAGCTATGTGAAAGAAAAACAATGATTCACTATAAATCGGTCACGCTAATTTCTGTACAAGATTTCGATGGTTGGTGATGCTAGTGTTAATGTTTTGTAAACCAGTGAAGTTCATGAAAGGGAATCATTCTGTATTCCATGTATTTTTACATTTATAAAATGTGAAATATCCTTTATGTGCAATGACTTTACTCATTGAATGGATTTATTTTTGCTCTCATGAAAAAAGAGTTCATTGTTTTATTTCAGTTCCTTTTAATTAGTTTGAGTTGTACTTCTACATAATCCTTTACGTGTATTCACATGAACTTCACTGAAATAATTAATAGTTCATAATGCAGTATGAATATCTTGTAAAGAAAGTTGGTGCCATGTGTTAGTATCATTTTCTGAAGAATTAATGAATCTATATAAAGAGAACTCTTTTCTACATCCAAATTTTTTTTAGAAATAATTCCTCTATTCTAGTAGAATAATTGCTTCTTCAGTATGTATGATGTAGAAATATCTGATATATTTTCTCATTCGCTTATTCCTCGATAAAACCTCCTGTTAGTATTCTTTATCCTCTAATATTCTACCTGACATTTTTGTACTGTTCATAAACGTTTGACTTCATGATGTAGATATGAAATCTAGATCTGCAAGAAAACAAGATTCATGTCCTTTTTCGTTATTGTAATCGATCAAAGACAAATTAGTATAAGTTTCTGAATGTATTGCATTTTATCTAATTTGAAAAATTCATGTGTTATTTCTTCATTTCGATCAGAACATCAAGAACCGGTACGAACACAAAAAACAAAGTAAAGCAAGATTACAGTAGGTTTTGTAATTTTAAAAGAAAATTTTAATTATGGCAGTAAAATCGAGAAGAGAAATAAGAAAAGAATTTTTGATTTTATAATAATTAGATAATTTACAGAAATATATTCTTCATGTAAAATTCTAAACCGACTATATTGAGCGAAAAACGTAAATCTTTACAAGTAACTGAGTGATGATAGAAATGGAAACAGCATTGTATGATATGCTAAAAATTTGTATTATGTTTATAAAAAGAACTATGACAAGGAATCAGGGTGGACGAAGAGTAGAGGTGAACAATGAAACTAATACATACATCTAGTCAAATCCGCTATCTATATGCCATAAAATAATAAAGAACTTTTACATTGACATCGTATTGACGGTCAGCTGTTTTACTATCTTGCAAATTCTTATTAACAATAGTTGACAATATTTTTTTTCAATGTTATTACGCTTTATTAGTGACAATTGAGTTAAAGATAAATATCTCTTGTTTATTTAAAAGTAATTACTAATTATATATAAAATAATAAAAACAAAATCCTAAACAATTCTTAAGTTTCTACCACCATAAATACAAGTCATGATCAATAAATTTAATAAAATATTCATCGAGTAAGTGTTCTAACTTAATAAAAGCAGTTAAATTTTTTAAATATGTTTTAGGTACATCTGTAAAGCACAAGAAAAATAAATGATGCATTGTTGAGAATAGACATCGTGTAATTGGAACGAATTCTCTTCTATATATACCAGTTTTAAGATATTCTAATTTTGGAAATAAATTAATAAAAAAACGAATTTCTTCTAATGAACAGCAATGAAGAATTTCTAAATGTTGAATTTTATTTGTACATAATACAGATTTAAAAGTTTCACTTTCTTGAATTAATTTTGACTTTGTTGAATCAATAGATTGATAATTCCATTTTAATATATGTAAATTAGGCATGACATTTATTAAATTCACAAGTTCTTTAACTGGAAAATTATGACAATCAACTACCAATTTGTTCACTTGTCGTAAAGGCATAAGTGGATCAAGAACTGTTAACATCGAGCCATAATATACTCTGCCATAATCTTTAATTGTTAACTCGGTTACATTTTAAAAATAAATGTCAGAATTGATCGTTGCTCGTTTACCACAAACAGAAACATGTTTGATTGATTTGCGGTCAACTTTTTGAGATTGTGAACTATTGTAATAATCGTATCGCCAACGAAATGTATGATCTTTTCTTCTAAAGTAAATCAATCAATGTAAGACAACATTGTTAAAGAATCCTCTTTGGAATTAAAATGTTAAATTCAGATCTTCTACCAGTTGGCACCTGATTTCATTGAAAATTTTTTCAAAATTAAGGTTATCTCTACATCAATTTAGATATTGAAAAACCTTTAGTTTTTAATTATTGTGAACATATACGGTATCAAGGTTTTTTAAAACTCTGGTTCCCAACTGTTACATCTAATATTCTTCTAATCTGACATATTTCTAAAGACAATCCAATCTAAGTAAAGAATCAATGATCCTTATTCCTTCAAAAACGAATCGAAACATTTTTGGATTTAGCTATTCTCAGAACATACATACGTATTTCTCAAATCATTCTTATATCAATCTACTGATTAGCAACCATCCCCTCTCCATTACTACGTAAATGTACTTGTCAATATCTCAGTCTGATTCTAATAATCGGGTACAAGTTAACAAGTTGCCTAACTTCTTGTCTTTTTCCAAAGAAAACTTAATTCTACTCTTGTTACAAACACCACACTAGTAGCTACGAAAGTAAACTTATTAATCAATGACTTTAGCTACTGTTGTCCTTAAAACAGGAGAAATCCAAATATCAGAGACGTACAACTTGCATTGTTTTTCTCCTACTAAAAATGTTCGTTCTAACAAAATAAATTCATGATTTTTCTTACCGATATGGATTTGTTGAAAAAAATATTCCACTTCTTGAACTGTCGTCATGATCATGTCGATGTTCAAAAAACCATTGTTTTTCAGTCCAAAACTTCGAGTGAAATCCACCAATTAAACAAGCATAGAGGAATGCATCTAATGCACTAGCATAACTACTTTGCATATCGAAAATACGTAGATTTGGCATTGAAGAAGAAATTAATTCTTCCCATTGTTCAGCATGTGAATATGTTGAATTTTCATATGTTGAAATCCGTAAAACTTCAACATAACGAAAAAAGCTTTTCACCAACTTTGAAAAGTGATAAAAGTAAATAGAATAAAGTCCCAAAGAAACATATTTTAAATCTTTGAGTATAATTGGATAAAGATCAACCTCTGAATTATTTGATTTAACAAGATAATTAATTGATAAATGATGAAGTTTTGGAAGACAAAGTAATAGTTTATTAAGTGATTCATATGGAAAATGACTATCAATTGTAAGATATTCAATAGAACTTTGTATAGGTCCATTAAAATTTAACGGTGCTATTTTTTCATTATCTTTTGTTCGATAAAATATTTTACAATATTTTAATTTTGTTAAATGAAATATATGAGTAAAAAGGATAGTTGGATTTTGAATATAATCAATAGAAGAAAGAATTAGTGAATTAAATGTTTAAGAATGTTAATTAGATATTTTGAGTTAACATTGTCAAAAATTAATTTTTCAAGTTGAATAAAATGACAAATAGTAGGTGGTAGTGACAAAATAATATCAACTGTAAACGGATTCGATAAACGAAGAATTTTGATTCGATATTTATTTGGTTTAATTACATTTGCATGGTAAAGTTCAAAATCTGATTTTGATATTGTTGGAAAATTGACTTGAAAAGGAAAAATTGAATTAATAATTAAGTTTCGAAATCGACTATTAAGATAATAGAATCCATAATAAATGTTGTAAACATCAAGATATTCAAATATTTCATAGATTATTTCATTTGCTAAACTTTCAAAATGAGATCTAAATTAAATAATTCTAGATCATGAAATAGATTTAAAATGACTAACTTATTTGTTGTTACGAGTAATTTTTGTTTTTTGTTATTATCATAGTCATGAACAGTGTCGTCTAATGGTCGTTTTATTCGTTCCATGTTTACCATAAAAAAATAACGATGATACTGATCGAGAATTACGAAAATGAATATGTACATATATGTATACACGTGGAGTAATAGTTTCTTTCTGTCTCTCTCTCTCTCTCTCATGCATCCATTATTTTCATCTAGTAAAATAATGGTAATGCTAAGAGTTTTACTTTTATACCAAGCTAATCATATGATAATCGAAATGGTTTTTAGCCTTTGAGTTAGTATTTGTTTCATTGGTGAAACATAAAATGACTTTCCTTTTTTTACAAAGATGATATAAATTATTGTCTAACCTACGAAAATTTACTTTTATTTAATTATACAAAGGAAGAAGAAGATTATTACGATTTTAAATCGATTTTCTGTGCAGAATGCTTTTTTTAATCTTTCTAGTAAGAATTAAATACGTGATTCTATTACCATCGTATCATTGCAATGATACATGAAACAAAGATGTAGACAAAAATTTATTCTATTGTGCTAAATCATTCATCAAATGCACAATCTGTTATTCATTTTAGTTAGAATACCAATCGTCAACAATTTCGATAAAGAACATAAAAACTGAAGTTGAAAATTTCTGAAAACTATTTAGACTAATAGATCTATGATTAATAGTCATTTAAGAGGGTTCAACTACTTGCTCTAATTATCCTATAGATTCTGTAATTTTTTCTAATTCTACGAAAGCAGAGATTGAATATTCGATCAAGAATTTCATCTACATCATTATCAGATGAAGTTATGTTAGTTCATAATAGATTTACTTTGCCCTTACGTGTATAAGTGACCTATCATTATGCTCATGTTCACTTAATAGAGTAGATAATATTTAACAAACGGAAATATTCTTTATATATGACAGTATTTTGAAATAATGGTTCAAATGTAATAACAACCAGTAGAGATGAAACGTTACAAGTTATTAATCAGCATAAGGAAGTTCATTATTTTGAAGTTATTTGTATTTTCGGTCGATCTATAAATATGACAGATGATTTGTCAGAATAAAATAATGAATATGAAAAAACAAGACGGAAGCTGAGCGTTTGTAATGATTTCATCAGTCGCTTTTAATGCAATTAACGAGAGTTCTTAGCTTTCAAAATCGAAGAATATCCATATGCATGTTGCTTTTTTCTTATTGAACTGAGAAAGAATTTAATCTACTCATCGATGATATGTTTTTACAATAAATGAAATGTGATGCTTGTAATTCAGGACAGTAAGTCAATGCTATTGAGCCACATATGAAACACTTTATGTTAGGTAGGAGACACAGCTAACCTACTGTAGTTGTAATAAAATAAAATAAGTTAACATATGGTTTACTTCACATAATTTTAATTCAATATATTAGTGTTTAAATCTACCAGAAGTTTTTCAAGACATTATCATTTAAAAACTTTAGATCCCATATTTTAACAGATTTTCGATAAATTAATGTCAAGAAATTGTTTATTTAATAACAAATCAAAACATATAGTTCTTTAAAAACTCTTTTTCACTATTAAATATACTTCTGTTGATAATAACTCAAATATTGTTATTACGCCTATTCAGTGTCACCAAATTAGCCAACTACGAACAACGGGTGTGTGGGTGGGTGGGTGGGTGGTGGACGGTGGGTATGGGCGTAGGCGCTGATGTGACTGTGCCATAAATATCCATCGAGATGCAGACCCACGCGCACACGCATAATCACACCCACACCCTTTTCAATAGAATATTCATGTATTGACAATGTTGCTCCCCCATTATTGTCATATCTTAAAATTCGAGATAGCTTATTATCATCTCTATATCAATGCAGGTAAGTAAATAATGAATAATAATTATTTTTTATTTTTATTTTTATCTAATTAAAGAAATAGGTTGGGAACAAGAATTCAAAGCAGAATGAAATGCGCTAAAATTGGATGAAAAATCAAAATCAAAAAGAATTATGTACAATAGTCTAATACACAAATGTTCGAAGGTATTCATAAAAGTCAGAAGATGTGACGAACGTAATGACGTAGTAGTATCGTAATAAATGTGCGTTTTGCCGTACGCAATCGTTAGGGATGTAAGACAAGACTAAATCGATAAAGAATTTACCAGCACATCCGAATAAATATGGATTATGGGTGTAAGTAAGAAAAATTACAACCATGTCTACATCAAAATCCAAACCCATGCCAAAAATATTTGCAACATTGGAGTAGCTCAAGTATTAGAGTTCATTCACCAAGATGTACGCAACAGTAATATCTTTTTACAAAAGCGGAAAAATAAACATTTCATATCAAGAAAAAATTCCTAAGAGAAAAAATAAGTTTCAAATATGATTTTGACTGACGTGAGTAGAAATCATCAACATTCGGTGATCAATATTGTCTATTGAACGGTACGTGTAGAAAAAAAACAGACCGAGTGTCGATTTGATTCCGGAACTGCAGAACCGAAATTCTGCGTCCATATGCTATTGGCTCATTTGGAATTGGGCAATTTTTAGTCCCAGAATCGCGGCTCGATCCATGTCAATACCGTTCACGCTTGTCTCTTATGCTGTTTTATTTTACAAGTTGTGCAATTTTCTTTTTTCTTTCCTTCATCACAGACGATATTATTCTCTTTGCTATACGTTATGCAGAATAAATTGGTTGCACGACAAATCACGTCACTGCATACGATTTTTTCTTGTCTAATGACGACGATGGCAAGGACAATGAACGAGAATAGTCAGCCAACATAATGCTACTTTCACTGTCATCAGTGTATTCGAAAAATAGACGAAACATCAAAGTACTTTATAGTTGTATTGTTCTAAAACATAGCCACGTTTTATTTTTCTTCAAATGATGAAAGAGTCGCTTTTACAAGCGTGTTTTGTGCATCTTAGTGCAGATGTTGATGTTCGCATGGAGTATAACTGTAGTACGCCTACCTTACGAATGCACCCATATCACATGTTTACACCCATCTGATTCGAATCACATTTGCATACGCTTTAGGCAGTCACATGTGTTTAGTAATGAATATTTTAGTTAATATTTGCAGAATTAATGGCTTACAAAATTAAAATTGTCATCGATTTGCACGATTTTCATGATGAAAAACAACTAAGCATTTTCAAGGTCGATTATGATTTTGTACCCCAATAATCCGATTACAATAAACACATTTTTCATTGGGAAGTGTACATGATCAATTGATTCGATGCATGCCAAAGATACAAGTACAATAGTTTTGGGATATGCAAGAACTGCTTCTCACGTCAACGAAGCAAATTATTCTTATTCAACTTTGAGGAAGTTTCTTGGAATTACAAATGATTGGATCGATGAACGTATAGGGACAAGCTTGCCAACATTTGCATTCTTTATTTTCTTAGTTACTCTGTAGTCAAGAGGTTTTGTCTTTTATATAATTGGGAATATAGCAGCTGATTCGAAGACAAATAACAGAACGTTGTATTTGATAAAAATCTAGAATCGAATCATGAAAGATGGCATCCTTCTTTTGATACTTACTGTAAAGGATGCAACTCTGTAATTAATTTTTCCAGTTATAACTATGCAGATTTGAATATATCAAACTGACGATTTTCGCCAATGAACATTCCTTCAGTGTGATATGTTGTATAAATGGAACAAATAACAAATAGGATTCAAGATCATCACAACTCTTCTTAGGAACATTGCACAACAAAAGTCTTTGTAGTTTTGGAAAGATCTTCAGAAATAATGAAAACGAATCCATTAAAAATGTTCATAGCATTTTATTTAGCACTGAGATTCCATCTCTACGATAAGGATTCAGAATTAAGAAACACAAGAATTTTCTATTATATTTTTCACTTCAGTTGTCAAGACAACATCTTAACATTGATTATAGAAATCAAACTACGCAAACTAAATAACCATGTTAATTAAAACAGTAGAAGAATTTAAATCTCAGACGAATTTCATAAAAAGAAAACAATATTATTTATGAAAGCAGTGGCCAGATATGATGAGCATCGTTTTATTTGTTTCTTCTTGTTTCACGAAGTGCATTTGATCTTTATTAAATTGTAAAACAAAGAAAACGAAAACAATGAGGACAAACTCAATTTGTTCATATCGTTCTAATTTCTGAAATGCTAGCACATAAAAACTCCGATGAAAAATATTACTTATTGAACAGTTGAAAAATTTGTATTCGTTTCCTATAGAATTCAACATCTATAATCAACCTGTACGCATTTTTATCAAAATACGAAAGTAGTTGTAGGTATTCATATGCTGAAATATCGTTAAAGTGTCACGTCGCGTTTTATATTGTAATCCGATAAAGATTAGAACAACAGTTTTTCAAAAAGAAAGTCAACATAGAGTGTAGAAATAGATGGTCAGTGAAGATTTTATCACTGTACTAACTCACATCCACACCCTCGTCTTTAACAATTCTCGATACAGCAGAAGCTAATGCTCATACAAATTCAATTGATTTAACTAGAAATTTAGAATTTCTAATAGAATAGTAATATATATGCACAATGTTGCTCTCCCATTATTGTTATCTCGTAGGATTCGAGATAGTTTATTCTCAGTTCTATATCAAAGAAAGTACATAAAAAAGCTGTTAACCCAATCTCTTCCGGATTAAAATGCGAAACACGACAAAACTGTTAGATTTATCAGATAAAGTATTGTTCTATCAATTTCTGGATTCTTTCTTTCATTATACTTTAATGCATCAGCTACACACGCAAAACCGACACAGCTCAAAGGTTTTATCGAGATTGTAGCTCTATCCTGTTCTGGCTCTTATGCCAATACGATTCATATGAGTCTACAACGACGTTCACAGCTGTCAATCGAGCTGTACCATAGTCATAGCTCCACCTTTATATCCTCCCTGCATTTCTAGAGTGTGGGTGTGAATGTGGGTGTCGGTGTCGGTGTCCATGTGGGTGTGGATGGGTGAGTGTCTCATATCTGTTCATCTACACCCACACCCATACCCACACCCACACCCACACCCACACCCACACCCACACCCACACCCACACCCTCAAGAATAGTAGAACAAGGCAATAGAAATAGTAAACAGCAGATCAATTTTCCATCAAGATCATTAATTAAGGAATACCCCCATAAGTTAAGGATAGCAGAACAGTTTTTTAGAGATAACCAGCCAAGTAAGGAAATAGAGAAAGAAAAAGATAAGTTATTCTTAGCCGCCAACTTTTATTACCAAAAAAGGCATTTTGAGGAAGAAAGTAAAAAATGGAAGATCTATGAACAAGTAGCCAGTCGTAAGTTAGAAGAAGATAAGGAAGATAGAGAAGATATAGAAATGATAGATTTAGAAGAGATACCCCAAGCAAGACTGTTAGCTCGTTGCGTTCGAGCTTTATGTTTATTTATTATCCCCCTTTTTCACACACACATATCTATATATATATATAAAAGAGAGAGAGAAAAAGAGACAACAGAAAGCTAACATGAAAGNTTAATGTTCTAATTTTGTTTGAAAAGATTTAATTGTTTGTCGTGAACGTGTTGCTAATGTCATCGATGATAAATGATATTAATGTTTGTGTGGCTAATTCATCTTTACCACGTTCCTAAAAATCGAATTCATTTAATGAATTATCTGCTGCTTCAAGTTCAATGGTAAATAACAATTCATTTCGTGTTGCATTTAAATAAACTGGTAATGTTATGATTGCATTAGTTTGTTTCCTTTCTGTTGCACGTATCCATGTAAATAGTGTTAATTTTATCTCTGTTGATATCGATGATAATAGAGAAAGTTTATTTGATCGACATTGTGCACCTTGTAAACGAAGACCACGCATAGCAAATGTACAATCATCTTCAACAACTTGTTGTTGATTAGTTGAATCTTGTACAATAACTTGTAAGATAAGTTCTTTAAGTGACCATTGATTTGATTGTGCAACACATTGATGGGATGCTGTTACATATGCTTCTGGTTCACTTAAATCGTGATCATATTGATAAAGACTTCCTAATAATTCTAAATGTCCACGTCGTTGTTTAATTGTATCTTTTAATTCAATATAATTGTTTGATAATTGTTGTAAAAGTTGTTGAAATTCTTCTTGACGTGAAGGATAATCTTGACTGACGCGTACACATTCATTATTCAAATGTTCTAATAGACGTTGTTCATGATTTTCAATTTCTTTTTCTGGGTAAGTTGTAATAAGCCAAGTGTGAATATTGTGGTTCGTCATGATGATAAAGTATTAATGATATCATTATTGAAACCCATGATGTAGTGTGTTTATCTAAACGAATAAAATGATTAGTGTCATTGTTAATAAATGATTTGTCCTTATTCGTCCTCGTTGTTGTGAGTGTTTGTTGTCACTGCGTTCGGTTGTTGTCGGGCAGTTGTTCATCGTTGTGGTTTTGTTTATTTTTTGTTTTTTGTTTTTTGTTTTTTTTTGTTTTTTTTTTGTTTTTTTTTTGTTTTTTTTTGTTTTTTGTTTTATATTTGTTTTTTTTATACTTACCCCCATCGTTCGATGTATTGTGTTCGGGAGAAATAATTTATTTTTATTTTTGTTGTTGCTCCTTCTTTTTCTTGTTTCGTTTTAAATCCGATGACAACTTCGGCTAAATTACGATTGATGGTAATTTGATGACTGGTATAAATTTTATCATCGGTTAATTGTGCACGAATTTTTCGGTAATCGTATTTGTGGTATATCGGTCGTTTAATTTTGTTTTGGAAGTCGGGGCGATGTTTTTGCTTCCATTTCAATTTGATGTTCTTTTTCCGTTGTCGTTCAGCTTTTGTTAACGTTGTTATTATTTGCGGTTGTTGTTGTTGCTGTTGTTCGATTTGTACGTCAGGTAAATGAAATGTTTCCATCTCTTCAGGTGTTACTTCGATCGTCAACGTTGGCATTTCGTCGTGTTGTGTTTCTGGTGTTGGTCGTGGTTCATCAAATCTAGGTATTAGAATTTGAATAATTTCATCATCGCTTACTTCTGATAGGTCGTCGTCCAAGTGTTTGATGATGTCTGTTGATGCTGTTGTTTGTTTTGGTATGTGGTGGTCATTGACTTTTTCTGGATAACTATGGAAATACAATTCAGCAACGGTGGCACAGTCGTGTGCAGCATATTGAATCATGCTTAAACGTCGTTGTTGTTCCGTTGTTTTATCATAATGATGTTTGCTAAATAATTTCTGTTTCCACGTATCCAGCTGCAAATCCAACCCACATTTCCAATGGTTAACCGTTTCGAATTTATCCAGAAATTTTCCAAACGTTGTTTCAATGGCTTTTTGCAGAGACCATAGTTCATTCGAATTACCATGAGTTTGATGATGAGAACCAAAAAGAATATCATTAATTTGTTGCTCATCATTCATATCATCATTATCACCGGGTGTATCGTATATATAATACGATGTGTCCGCGGTTATTTCATCACGCCTTTCCATTTCTGGATGCGTTATTTGTATGTTTTTTCCAGAAATAAATAAAGATTGTACATTAATTGGTATAATTTTCTTACCTATGTGGATAAGGTCGAGATGATGAAAATTTGTAAATTCGTTCTCCAATGGTCCCCATGCTAGAATTTCATTTCCATTGTTGAATATAATTCCACATAATTCTATTATTTTTTTGTATAAATTTGATTGTTTGTCGGGTAAATAATTGATTTCAATTAATATTGTCGTTGACTGGTTACTGGAATAAAGGAATTGTATTTGTATCAGTGCACCATGTCTTTCTGTTTCACCTTTTTGTGATTCCGTGTCGACGACGTATCTTTTTGTTTTGTATGCCTTCGAAATTAATTCATTTAGCGTATCGATTGTTGATTTGTAATGAAGATGTATGATGTTGAGGTTTGATGATGATTCGAATGGTGGATATTGAGATCTTAATTGTTCATTTTTTTCGAATTTTTTTTGGTTTCTTTTCCAGTTGTTTTTTTTCTTGGCACTTGATTTTAGATAATAAGTTGGTGTATTATTCGAATTTCGGTCCATTTGATAATATTGTGATTCTGTTGCGATAAGTATGTGTTTACTGTTTCGTTACTATATGTGATACGACGAATTTTCCGTAATCGAAAATATTTCTTTTTCTATTCTTTGTTAATCGGTCATGACCTTTCGATATGTATATGTAAACATTTTTTCAGTTCTTCTGATGTGGTATAATTTTGTGTTTTTATCCGGTTGTTGTTTCGATTATAGTAAAGTCGCTGACCTGGATTATATGCGTCATTCTTTTGCACGTAATAGTCAGCGCTTATTCTATTTCCGTGCATCGATTGATCGGCATGCTGATTGGATGATTTTTTTCTTTTCTTTTTTTTTCTTTCGTAATTTGCTTGAGTGTGATTGCCCTTCCTCGTCAGTGAAATGGTTAAGGCCTGTTTCCCCGGCATGGATTGCTATATCAGACCCAATCATATTATTTAATTACTAATTAAATGTAAATTTAAATTTAAATTAATTTTTCTCAATTAATTTTTGATTTTTCGAAATTTAATTTTGTTGAATTTTATTCGTCTGTCTCTTTAAATTTTTCTTCTTATTTTTCGCCCATTAAATTACATCTCGATTTATTGTTTGGATTTAAATTTAATTCTTAAATTAGATTTTTCTACATTTTGATTTTAATTTCGATTTCGATTTAATTCTAATTGTTAATGGTGTTCTCTTCTATAGTTGATTGTAACATTTAATGATCAATTTAAATTTAATTTCATCGTTATCTTTACTAGTTTTCACACTTGATTCCACATCTTTCCCTTGTCGGGATGTGTTTATTGAATTAAATTCCATCGTTCCACTAGTGGAACGATGATATCCATTGTCACTTGTTTTGTTAATGTTAATTTTTTTACATGTTGGACAGTGAATGTTTTAATTCCTAATTGTTTAATAATTTTAAATGGACCTTCATATCTAATGTCGAATTTGTTTCGAGCGTTTCTTGTCTTCACAAGAACTAAATCATCAATTTTTAATGATAAATTTTGTCTATTTAAATCATATCGAGCTTTGTATTGTTGTTGACTTTTTAAAATATTTTTTCTTGCTTCGTCTTCTAATTTTCCAATATATGTTTTAATTTGTTGGCAATGCTCTGGATCTTGTGTGAGCGATATTATTGCATCTTGTTGATCAAATGGTAGAGTTGCTTGTCTTCCATGCATGATTTCAAACGGTATTTGTTTTGTTGTTGCATGTATCGATGTATTATAATTAAATGTAACATATTGTAATACCTCATCCCAATTTGTACGTCGTTCATTGCATAAAGCTGCAATTTTACCATCCATTGTAGCGTTAAATCGTTCGATTTGTCCATTCGTTTGAGGATGATATACTGTAGAATATAAATGAGTAACACCAATGTGTTCAAATAAATTGTTCATAATTTGAGCAGTAAAATGAGTACCATTATCAGTTAAAATACATGTTGGAGTTCCATATTTTAATATAACATCATTGATAAGAAATTTTACAGCTGTTGTTGCTGAACAATCTCGAACAGCTTTTGCAACTACAAATGTTGATAGTATATCTGTCAGAGATATAATATATCTATTTCCTTGTTTGGATGTTGGAGCTATTGGTCCATGAAAATCCATACTCAATAATTTCCAAATTCCTTCTGGTGGTTTTATTGGTTTTAATGCTCCTGGTAATTTTTGACGACGATGATTGTTTTGTGCGCATGGTAAACATGAAGTTAAATGATTTCTAATGTCCGTTATCATTGTTGGCCAATAATAACGTTCTTGAATTTTTCTTGTTGTTTTATCACGTCCAAAATGAGCTCCATTACCAGGTGTGTCATGATAAATTTTTAATGTATCAGCCCGTATTCGTCCGGCTGGAACAACTGGTACTGATGCAAGTGGTAGTTGTTGTTTTCTAAATAGTATACCATTCTCAATAAAATAATTTTTCTTACTTCGAATATTCTTTTTTATGTCTTGTACTATCTTATCTTTTTCTTGCCATTGTCTTAAATCGTTCATATCGAATGGGATGATTTTATTTGGATTTTCGTCCAGTAGATCCGACATTGATTCTTTATCAATCGCTGCTTTCCCTTTTGGAATGAGCTCCATTACTTTTCCATCGGTTGTTGTGTTGGATGGTGTTGCCGTTGTTTGTTGTTGTAATTTGGCTTGAGCTCGAGTAATTGCTGTTGTTATTTTTAATGGAATTGACTTGTCTAATGATGGTAATGGTAAATCTGTGTGTGTGAATTTTGATTCATATGGAATTCTTTCGTCAATATCTTCTTCAGCTGCTTCAACTGGTGATCTTGAAAGATAATCTGCCATATTGTTTTTGTTTCCTTGTATGTGTTTCACCTTGAATCTATATTCAGCTAATTTCAATCGCCATCGATTGCATCTTTTGTTTAATTGTTCCTTGTTGGGTAAATTTACTAATGGTTCATGATCAGTTTCTAATATAAACTCATGTCCACGAAGATATTTGTCCCATTTGTCGATTGCTTGTACTATTGCGTAACATTCTTGTTCGATGGTTGACCAGTTTGTTTGTGTTTTCATTAATTTCTTCGACATATATGCTAATGGTCGGTCACCATTAGGAGTAATTTGTAATAAAACAGCGCCAATTCCATCGACACTAGCATCACTTTGTATTTTAAATTGTAATGTATCATCAGGTAGACCGAGGATAAGATCGGTTGTTAATATCTTCTTGAGTTCATGGAATGCTGTTCTTGCGTCATCTGATAATACAAATTTTGATTTGTTCATTTTCTGTTGGTTCAGTGTTGATGGTGAATATCTGTGTAGTGGTGCAGCGATTATGGAGAATTTTGGAATGAATTCTCTGTAGTATTCTGCTGCTCTGACAAATCTAAATGCTTCTTCAGCTGTTGTTGGTTCTTTTGTTTCAACTAGGCCACGGATGTTGTTTGGGTCTGGTTTAATAAAACCTTCTTTAATAAGGTGACCAAGGAATAATATTTCCGATCTTGCGACTTCACATTTATTGACATTTAATTAAAAATTTGCTTCCTGTAATAATGAACATACTTCTTCAATGTGTTGTATATGTTCATAAAAAATTTTTGAATATATAATAGTATCGTCGATGTAGGCGAGAACATGTTTCCAC